TTTGTGGGCTGGCAGTCCAATGAGAAATTACTACTACACTCTCCAGCCCCTGTTTCTACTTTCTTCAGCCTGAATCCTCACCCCTAGCTCTTACCTCAGTTGTCAAGTCCAAACACTATTTCCACTTCCACCACTTAAGCAGGTCTTTAGGGTCATCCCTATTCGAGCTTGGAGCAGGTAAGTTTATCAAGAAACAAACCTCTGAGCAGGTTTGCCTTTAGTCCCAGCACTCGGGAGACAGAGGCAGGCAGATCTCTGTGAGTTAGAGGTCTATAGAGCAAGTTTCCAGGACAGCCAGTGCTACATAGAAAAACCCTGTCTCAAAATGAAGGAAGGAAGGAAGGATGGAAGGAAGGAAGGAAGGAAGGAAGGAAGGAAGGAAGGAAGGAAGGAAGGAAGGAAGGAAGGGCAAGCAAATAAATAAATGAGTGGATGGATGGATGGATGGATGGCCTCAGTGTGTCACAACCTCTTCTGTGGCCACTCTGGTATTCATTTTTCAACATGGCTTCCCCAAAGTGGGTTTCCCCCCTGCCTTTAGTCTTTAAGCAAATGGACTTCTATCTGTGAACTATTTCTCCTTTGGTCATGACATTCATTGCATTGTGGCTAATACGAAAGCCATTCCTGATTCTTCAAAGTGCCCAGTGCATGTTCCTCAATACTGTATCTTCCTATATTTTTATTATCCATAATTCCCTGTGAATTGCAAGGTCAAGGGGACGAATCACTTGAATTTGACACAGATCTGAAAATGGGCATCCAGCAAATGTTTGTCAGATGGACTAGTCTATAGAATAAAATACTGACTGTTTTCCTGTATGATAAAGGAAATAAAATATTTCAGTTTTCTGTAATTCCTACTGTAATTCAAGAAAGACAATGATAACACCAGTGCAAACAAATGCTTTTGCTTCACTCAAGCAAACAAATGCTGGATGGATAAATAAGGGGATAAATGTTTAAACAATAGTTATAACACTGACCCTACACTTACAGCATAATTTTATGTGTGTTAAAACACAGTTTAAATATATAAATTAATTACAGTCAGGAGAGACATGAACTAAGGTAATGTCTTACCTGAAGTTCTTAATATTCCAGGAAACTTACTAAAAATAGAAGCCATTGACATCTAACTTAAAGTGCATTTTCTTACAGTTAAACAGGAAATACTGTATCAAACTAAGGAAGCATCTAAAAACTAGGAAGTAAGAAAGAAAAGCCACGAAGCAGGTGAAAATACTTAGGTTTATATTTAAGAATAGCTCAATCAAAAAATTTGTGTCAGATAAAAAAATGTGCATAAAACTGTATGTATACAACTTTTTATTTCAACAAGTAATAACTTTTAAAACCAAATCTACCAAGAAATCTTTAACTGGAAACTTAAGTTTGTTCTTTAAAAAATATCATAAAATGATGATGTATGTTTGAAAATACTCTCATATTTCTCCTATTTATACATCACACAATGCATACACATGTTAAAATATATAAAGTATTCACAAACATGTTTAATTGTCAGGTTTTACGTGTGAACTAAAAAGAAGTTTAACTTTTAAAACATGGAAAAGATTTTTTAATATCATTTAGAAATGTGTAAGATATATGTGTTAAAAATAACCCAGTCTTGTTCCCTAACTAGAACTAATAAAATAAAATAAAATTTAAAAAAATAACCCAGTGATATCTTATATGGCCATTTAAAAAGTAGGATTTATCAGACACACACACACACACACACACACACACAAAAAAAAAAAAAAAAAAAAAAAAAAAAAAAAAATTCCCTTATAGCCAGGCATGGCACCATACATAAAAAAAGCCTATATAGCCAGACATCTTACCATACACCTTTAATCTCAGTACTCAAAAGACAAAGGCAGCTGGGTCTCTATGAGGCGAAGCCAGCCTGATCTACAATGCTCAGTTCCAGGCTAGCCAGTGAGATCCCATTTCTGAATAAATAAACAAGACAGACTGATCTTATTTTTTTAAAAAGGGGGGGGAGGGGTTGATCTTCCAAAGCCTCTTACATGTGTCATCTTAAACTGATGTCACATTTTACAGATGCTGGCAATAAAAAGTATTAACATCATATTGTAGTCAACACATTGATACAAGGTACCACTGCCTATTACTGTTGCATACCCACCACCAAAAACTTAAACCTCTCCTATTGAAAGCAACACACCTATAATGCTTGTAGAAAACAGAAGCCACCAGAATGCATGAACACATCTTTTCCCATGACTAATAGGTTTTCATTACCTCAACTTCCTTCACTGAGAATATGAATGCTTTATCTTGTGCTATCTTTACATTTATAGGAAGCAGAAGTATATTTTACAGAGCAAGCAGTAATGGAGTAGTGTGTCAATGAAAACTTCAAAAGTAGAGAATATTTTAATTTTCTAAACAGCCTTGGAAGCTAGAAACCCTTCAGTCTTCGGTGGGAATACACAACATCCACATATGAGATGTTTTCTTTAGTCTACGGTCTGATTTTTTTCTGCACCACTTTTGCTCTTTCCAACGTAAAAGAGTAAACAGCTCCCTTTCCCACCATTAAAATAAGAGAGAATAAAACACACCAAAAGAGTTGTGTGCCAAGTTCCAACTGGTGAGTTAACCATCCTTCCTGACTTCTGCTCCACCACCTGTCCTCTCCATCTTTACCATGGACCTGGGGTATCCCTGCCATACAAATACCCAGAAACAGCCCGAAGTAATTAATGAAGGGGCAAAACAGGCAAAGTTCTGTTTCCTACCACACTCTTAAAGGTAAACCAATGCTGGTTTATGTCCCAAGAAAGTCTTTTTTGGGAGCCAACACCAAATTTACCAGGCTCTGCCAAGAGCAGTGCCACTCGCTTCCATAATCTAGTCACCCACCACAAGGCTGAATATACCAGCCCTTTTGGTCACCTTAACAACACTGTCAAGCTAAACTCATCAAAACTTTAGAAAACGCTAATGAGAGTTCTCTTCTCACTGCGTATTAAAACACTCACTCTCAAACCTCATATGCTTGCCTTGCAAAGTGTACTGAAAACGCCCTACAGGGACTTAATCGTCATGATTCTGAGGAACCATAGCCTGTTTTAAACTATTACAACACATTTAATTTTAAAAGAGTACATAAAGTATACATCACTTGAAATTCAAGTTTTAAATCAAAATTAGGTCCTTACTTTTTCATTCCAAAAAAGGGGGATAAATTACATGTGGATTGAAAGAGAAAAATTACATTGTGGACTATTTTTTAGCTATTAAATTCTTAAAGTACTGTCTTTCCGGATAAAAACTGAAAACGGTAACTTTTTTTTTTTAATGTTATGTGACTTAGAAATTATACACCCATCAGGCTTAGAAGTTGGATAAAAAATTTTAGATTTATCACATTACTCAAAAATTAGTGGTGTCAGGAATAGACAGATGGCTTAGAGGTTAACAATGCAAACATGAACACCAGAGTTCAAACCCCAACACCCAAAAAAACAGCAGGGTGTGTGTGTGTGTGTGTGTGTGTGTGTGTGTGTGTGTGTGTGTTGCAGCTAGACAGATGGCTCAACATTTAAGAACATTTGCTGTTCTCATAGAGAACCCATGCTTGGTTCCTAATATCCAATATCCCACTATCCATGTAGTGGCTCAAAATTGTCTGTAACTCCAATTACAGGTATCTGACACCCTTTTCTGAACTATTCAGACACAAGGCAAGCAAGTGGTGTACATACACACATGCAGGCAAAACACTTGTACACATAAAATAATCAAAAATAATTTTGAAGCAGGGTTTGTCCCTGTGCACACCTAAAACATTAGCACTGTTGAGGACAGAGACACGAGGATTGCTGGGGCTTGCTGGCTGTCAGCCCAGCTGGTAAAAGCAGGCTCCAAGTTTAGCAACAAACCCTACCTCAAAGGAACAAGGCAGGGAGTCATAAAGAATATCAGATTTGGGTCCGCACACTTGCACACATCCACGTACACATGTGTGCATAGACCACACCAACACCGACTCACATACAATCTAGCAGTGTTTCTAAGCAACTCTAAACCAACCATGCCACCTCTAAAATACAAACATGCATCCTCTTGTGCAGAATATAAAGGCACTGTCTCATTTAATTTGAAGTTTATATAAATAGTATAATTTGAAGTAAGGCTGCAACAATACCCCAAAATATTAATGACAAATTTTCTCAATATATGTAATTTATTACTCATGACCTTTCTCCTGATACAGTAAGATAGCCATAAATGTTACTGTTACTCAACCATCTCCCAGAGTCATCAGTTTTTCTTCCATAATTATAAACTTACTAAGCCAAACATGACCCACACCTTCAAAAGACCAATTCTGAAAACCACAGATTAGTTATTGCAGACATTAAGAAGCAAAATAGGATATTCTAGACCTCTTAATTAAAATGTAGGCAAACCAAAGCATGAAATACAGTTAAAATTAAGGTGCAAATAAGAAAATACAGTAAGACATTTGAAGTTCCAATTTCTTTTTTTACTAAGCCTGTTTTTGTTTCTTAATGTAACTGAAATTTCCCCAGTACATTCCCCAAATGCTCTCATACTGGGATTTCTGAACTTGCTCTTTCATCTCTAGAACAATTAAAATATAAGTTTCTAAGGAATTTCCCATGAGCTTTCCCTCAAAAAAAGCAAGGCAATTCCAATGCCTGTCTTTTTCTTATTTGCAAAACAAGTTAACAAAAAACAGTGCTCTATTCATTTTTAAAAATAATTAAATTGCACTTGTACTTTTCAGGTAAGGACCAGCTCATATGTAGACAAATGAAGCCTCCTGAGCTACCTCCACCTAAACCAACACTTCCAAGGTGTGCACAAGTTTCACTCAGGTAAAACACAGCAGGACAAGACTGAGTAAATGACATCAGCACCACAATTCATTAGTAACATGGCAAATTCATGCACAAACTCAGGTTAGTGTTAAGAAACCGCACGGATTACAATACCTGGGATTTAGTGCATTCCTTTGAGCCAGAATGAAATGAGTGCCATAAAGGAGGAAAGGAAAAGAGGAACAATGTCAGACATGCTACACATTGCATCTGCCAAAATGAAGATCATGTTTATATCAGTGTAGAATGACAGTATAGGCTTGGCTGCGTGTACTGTGCTATATTCTTTAGCCATGCACTGGAGAGTTATTGTGACTCATCCCAAGTACACTCATGCAACCCAACTATCTAAGACCAGCTTTCCACCCTAGGCCCACTATACTAGTCAACTTCTTTCCAAGAGAGAGATTGTGTTATGAACACTATGAGTCACAGCAAATGAAGAACGATAGTTTCCATTTAAATCTTTTTTTTTTTTTTGCCATGTCTATCAAACATATGAAACAAATTTTGTTTTCCTTGTTAAAACCTGTTTAGGTCAAATATATACACAAATATTTCAAAAAAGACTCAATATTTTGAATTATAACCATAATATTGCCATAATATTACTTCATTTAGTAAAATTAATAGCAATTGGTCATGTATTAGTAAATAAATTATTGATAAAAATTTTACTTTAATGTTGAATTATTTCTAAAAGTATCTGTTGACCAGATAATATACTATTTAAAGGAAATACTTTTAAAAACTCTCACACACACAAAAAAAAAAAACCCTACATTTTAAAAAACAAACCAAGAAAGGGAATGATGTATGGGAGGGTAATGAAATTTTCCATAAAAGACAAGACAGGGCAGGTAAGAGAAACGGCTATGATATGGCCCTCTAACTTGAGTGCCCCACACATCCTATTGGGTTAATCCAATCAATGTTAACACTGAGCAAGAAAGTCCACACTCGCCTGACTTTCTTAGGGTGGAAACAGTTTGAGAAAACAATTTGTGACTTCCCACCCACCCTCCTCCCTCAGCCTTCGTTTTTATTTTTTGACTCAAGGTCTTGGTCTGAAGCCCTGGCTGGCCTGGGATTTGCTATGTAGAACAGGTGGGCCTCCAGCCTGCAGCAATTCTCCTACCTCTGGCTGCTTCCCAGTGCTAAAATAACAGGCAGGCACCACCGTGCCCAGCTTCTTTCAAGCTCTTCTTTCTGATACCCAAATCTCTCCAACAGACAAGTGGAACTGCCTTTGCAGTAAACAAAAAACTCAAGCAAATGATTCTCCATGATATGCTGAAGTAGTGCATGGAATAGGCAGACTATATGTGTTCAAAATCCTGTTAAAGATTTAAATACAAGGAGCTCTCTAAGAAATAAGCATGTGAACCAGGCAACCTAAAGTTACTAAACCTTGCGTAAATGGTTTGGTCTATATACATTTCACTTGTGCTTACCCACAGAAAGAAAAACTGAGAAGTGTTAAATAGTTACCAAATTACAAGCTAATTTCATATAATGTTCACATTCTGGATCACATGCTCAACTAAACCACTTTCTCTGTTATGACATTATAGCATAAGAATCCAGGGTCCTCCCATTATGAAAACAAAAGAAAAATGAGGCTCTAAACTGACTGTAGAAGTCTATACAAGGCACCCAGTATCCATGTCTTGGTTTCTTCAAATGTGAAAGAGAAGTTACTTATCAAATATCTATGAAATAAGTGACAATGAATGAGTCCCGACATTTAGGATGGTCTTTAAACGTGGTTAGCAGAAGTACTGCAGAACATCTTCTCACTGAGATTTTTTTAAGACATCAAGTGATTCTCATCTCACTTTTCTGCATTGAATAAGCTGAAGACATAGCCTCACAACAGAGTAAAAGCCCACACATACCTACTTTTTAAGTAAAAGCAATTTGATACCAATCATGAGAGGGGTGCATAACAGGAAACTAACTTCTTTAAGTAAGGGAAGAAAACTTACAAAGTACCAATTCAAATGTTCCATGTTTAACTCAGAGAATAGTTTAAGAGATAAAAGAGCTAACAAGTACCTCTTCACTTCTTGTTTCAATACTTTCTGAAATCTATTTAGATGAGATATGCTTCCACCAGAAGAAGAAAAGGCACTCAAGAGAAAAAAAAACAAAAAACAAAAACAAAAAGAGCAGGTGGAGCTCTATGAGTTCTAGGCGAGCCTGGTCTATACACAGTGAATTCCAGGCCAGCCAGGGCTACATAGGGAGACCAGTCTCAAAATAAATAAGTGAATAAGTAAATAATGCAAAAGTAGCCAATTTGAAATTTTTCACTATGTTTTTATACACCCCTACCACAAACAAAATTATGATAAGCAACAGTTCTTTGCAACTTACCGTATGGTAACCTCTAGGTAAAGGGGGCTTTCCCACATGGTATGAGTCCACTGTGTCAATAATTGTTTGTCTTTCACCTTTCTGGTTGATTTTTCTAAATCTTCTTCGAGACTGTCTGTGGGAGGCTTGGCGCTGGAAATATTCTTCATTTTCATCCATATAGTCCACCTGAAATAAAACCCCAGAGATATTTCATTTCTCCAATCAGGACATTTGAACATTAATATTAGATATAAAAATAAACTTACAAACAGTCTACATTCATTCATTTTGCAGATATCTCTAGACAAACTTTAAGTGAATCTGCACCTCTCTGAAGCTAACTGGCTTTCAGTCACTCTTCTGTGAAGAGGCATTCTCAGTTCCACTTGGGACAGTCCAGGTTACTCTTAAATTCCCTGTCATTTCAGAGGAAGACACTTAAGTAGTCTTTCTGCTGACTTATGAGTCAAAGAGGTCATGGGATATATTGCCACACTTCATGAATGCAGCTACTGCTTGTCGTAACGCTATACACACACACACACAGACACACACACAGACACACACACACACACACACACACACACACACACACACAGATGCATTTGAGAAAATCTGTAGAAATCCCCTGTAATCCTGAGTATTCAGCCAGCAGAACTGATCTAGGAAATCAAGGTTCCTCTTCCGGCTTACAAGCATAGCTTCAGCTTCTTTTTTGCTTATTGAGTATTGCTTTAAAAAAAAAAAAAAAAAAAAAAAAAACTCCTTTTAAACAACATTTAAAAACAATTCTAGTGAGAACAAGTGAAGTCAGTTTATTAATCAATTACATTCTTTAGGACTGCTAACACAGAGGTATGTTTAGACTCCACTCACGGGAGCAAACTCACTAGTTCCTTTATTATCTTCAAAGTACAAGACTCCAAAGTTCTGTAAAATCCAAAAACAACATAAGCATGGCAAAAATCACAATTTAAAATGTTGGAAAGCATGTCTGTCCATACTTTTCATAATTCTAAGTTTTTACCAACACGGTCCTATTTTCTCACTTTGTGAGATTTGACCCCAACTTTTTACTAGGTCTAGAAAGGAAGTTCTTATTGCTGACAAAATTCCTCTCCAACATCATGGGGAAAATCCAGTCTCTTAAAAAAAAAAAGAAAAAAAATCGACCTACAGTTGCCCATCAAATATTTAATCAACTGTGATCAAGAAAATTCCACCCCATTTGTTTTACAAGTTTCCTTCCTGGAAAGGAAGACAGATGGGGACACAGAGATATTTTGAAGGAGGGGTAGTCAGGGCTGGGTACTTTACACACACACACACACACACACACACACACACACACACACACACCTACCTACCTCTTTGATTTTGTTACTTTTAAGAGTGCCTAATATCCTCTGGTAAAATCATGTTTTATGCAATAAGGGACAAGTACCACAGATGGTTTTTCTTTAATGCTTTACTGAAAATAATTGTGTTGCTAAAATCATTTTTAACATTCCATCCAATGCCTTATCTTAATGTATCTTAAATCCCACTTCTGTGAGACAGGGGTGTCAAGGGCTTTGAATCCACATGGTGGTTCTCTAATTTTCTTTCAATTAAAGGAATTCCAGGATTGGCTTATGTTAACTGTTCCTTGGATACACATCAATGGAATTCATTTAAAGGAACTTGTTCAATGCAAAGGCCACTCTGAGCTAAACTTCTGCAGTCCCAGGGTCCCCCAAATTCCAGCTGAAAGACATAACCACTGACTGAATTATAAAGTTCAAACACCAAACACTGTCTCTGGTCAATTTTCTATCTTCTACTTCTGAGTTTTGTAAATAATTACAATTATAAAACTCAAGCCCATAATTATTAAGCAAATCTGTTATAAAAATACAATACTTTATGGCAAATAAGTAGTTTGTGAAAGAGCTCGTATTTTTTATAAAAAAAAAAATACTTCAGAAAAATAAAAGGTTCTGGAAGAGATATTCTTACCACAATCATTTCAGAAGGCTCTAACACAATGCATTCACAGCCACGCCTAAAGCTTCCTGCAGAACGCTTGCCAAAACTAGAAAGGAGTAAAAAAAACAACAGACTCAGGGACCAAGAAACATGAATTAGGAATTCAAGCTAACCCCCAACTACAGAAAAAAATTAATAACAAAAACTACACATTAAAGATGTCTTTAGTCACTATTTTACAAAGAAAAACTACAAAACAATTTAGTTTCCTAAATTTCAATCATGTTTTCTGGAAATCTGTTTTCAAGTTAATCATTTAAGTAAAGAAGAATTGATACAAACATGTTTTGTGATGGACTATTTAAAATCATTCTTAATGAGGTGAAGTTGTGGAATATTTCAATACAGACAGAAATGGCCTAATTGTGAAATACAAAAATGTTTATGAATATATGTTACAATCAATCCCATTTTCTAAGTTAATATGCTCAGACTCAATATTACTTTTACATGGGAATGTATTCATTTTCTAATTCTGTCGATCAATTTATATGTTTTATGAATAAGTTGCCAACACAGGATTGCTCTTCTGTGAGTACAAAGGGGTGTGCACAGTCATATGCAAGAACTATCTCCCCAAAAGCTCTACCTACCCTGGGGAACAGGACCGGGCTCCTCTGCCCCATCCCAGTGAACTCCCCTTTAGCCCCATAGAAGACTGCTTTTTTCTTTGTTTTTCTGACAGTCTCTTTACAAACTAGAACTCTGGTGTGCCAAGGCGATCTTGACCTGCCTTCTCCATCCATGAACTGCCTGTCTACCCACTCACTACTCCAAAGACTGTCCTTTCCCTCTAAAAATAAACAATTTCTTAAAGCTTCAATATAGATAGAATATACAGTTCACCACGTTATATGTATGTGTTTTAGTAATCTTTTTACTTAGTTTGCTTAGTACACACAGTAACTCTAAAAACAAACAAAAAAACTAGGCTTCACTATAACACCCACACACATATATATGTACTTTTATCTGTTCATCCTCCAATTACCCTTGGTCCCTTCCCTATTCCCTCTGATCTGCTTCCTCTGGTCCCCCTTCCACTTTCTTGTGTTTTGTGCTTTTAATATAGATTCTACATCTGAGGGGAAATATATGACATTTGTCTGAGACTGGTTTATTTCATTTAACATAATAATCTCCAGTTCGCCAACTCTTGTGCAAACAATAAACATCTGTTCTTCTTTATGACACAGAAAAAGTCCAAAGTGCACACTCTACAACAACTTTTAAAGGGGAAAAAAGCCTCCCAAAAATTAATTTTAATTGAATATGTCCCCACCCCACCCCCGGGTTAATTAGGCATTTTGAACTATTTCTATGGAAATCCTTGTTACTTTTATAAGGCCCTTATACTATGACATACAATGTTTCATATACTAGGAACCCAGCTATGAGAATGAAGAATAAAACAGAAAAGTCTTCTACGTGCTAACCAGTCACTCTGACCACTTGATTTTACTCATTTACATGAGACTAGCAGTCAGAGTAGGGTCATCAGTTATGCTGTTCTGGGCTTCAAACTTGTTTTATAGAAGATCAAAACCAGAATCATGGCTAACACCATTGAAACATACTTTTGAAAACACTTGAACATACATTCAGACATACTGACACACATTGTAGTGTGCCTTATGAAGTAGAAAAATTCTGCCAATGAGCTGGAGAGATGGCTCAGTGGTTAAAGCACTTGTCATGCAAGCAAGAGGACTGGAGTTAAATCCCAGAACCCACTGTAAATGCTGCATGGGTGTGCTAGTGAAAGTAGGGCCAGAGGATCCCTAGAGCAAGCTGGCTAGTTGAGACTAGCCATAATTTAAGAGTTCTGGGACTGACTCAGAGACAGTCTCTCAAAGAATAAAGTGATGCTTCACAACCATGTGAAAAATAATTTTGATATATTAGTAAAATACAAGCTCACCAATATCATTTTAATTCTTTTACATGATTAGGTAAAAATGTATATTGTATTTTTACAGTTTGTTACTAAGTAACATGACGTTAAAATCTAAAAACGAATGAAAGGGGTTGTTGTGAAGCTCAGTGTGGTGTGTGTAATTAGCAACAGCAACTCCCAGGTTTGACTGCCAACACCTCAAAATAAATAAGGAAGCCAAAGCACAACTGTGAGACTCTTCTCAGTTGTCAAATTTTATTCCATTCAGGCCTAGACAATTTTATAAACATAATTGCTTCTTTTGAAAACATTGCACAATAATCATAAATATTTGTAGTGCATACAAAGGTCCTATAATACTTGATAAAAGAAATCAAAACACGCTGCCACAAAATTGTTCACAAACGTCAGTAAGTAAAGGTGGGCCCCCATCTTTAACATTAGCAAACTATGCATCATTTCTGGTATGCACACACAGTTCTTGTACCAATGCCCCCACATCCTATTCTACATTGCAAATCCTCTTACCAATTAGGACTTCAGCTTTGAGCTGAAGTAACCCTGTTGCTTTGGGATGCAAAGTTCACAGTATGTAAAATATGCCCAGGAGAGTCTGTGGGATGGGAGCTGCAGGTGAACCTGACAAACTCTGCAGCCACAAGACTCAACATCTTGTAGACATCACAAAGTAGTCAACAGGAGAAACAACCCTCCACCAGATTAATCTCTCAAATATGCTGAAGGAGAAAGGCTTCAAACTACTTTGAAGCAAGGCATTTGTCATTTTTATCCAATAGCCAGCAGGGCTGGGGAGATGGTTCAGTTGGGTAACTCCCAGCTGGAAGCATAAGGATCTGAACTGGGAGCCCTAGAGATCATCTTATAAAATTCTGAGGCTGTGTTGTCCACTATCTGTACAGCAGAGCTCACTGCAACACAATTCACTATGAGCACATGTGGAAACAACTCTGCTACCCAAACAGACACTATTCTTTATGTAACAAATAAAATAAATTCCAAGGTGTTGGTAGTAGTAATCTAGCTCCAAACTCATGAACCTCCTGCCTTCAGCCTCCAAAGTTCTGGGAATACAACAGCATGACGCCACATGAAGCTCACAATGGAGAATTATTCAGCCACATGACACAAAATGAATGAATCTTGAAAATATCATACACAGGGCAACAGGCCAGTCAAAAAAAGTCAAATGTCATATAAGTCCACTTAGAGGAATTAGACAGAATAGGAAAATTCACAGAGAAAGTGAGAGGTCACTGAGAACTGAGAGGAGAGACAGGGGCAAGCCCCACAGTTAGCTTAATTGTTTTAGTGGCACTGGATTTCTTTAGAAACACTTAGGGCATAAGTAAGAAAAAGCAGGACCTCGGAGCAAACAACTATGGGCTGGGGATGGCAGAGGAATCTGCCTACCACTTCGAGTCCTGAAAAAAAAATCCAGAGAGCACCCCAGTCCCCAGCAAAACATCCAGTTGTCTGCGACTGGACCACACTACTGATAAGCACTGAAGCAACCTCTTTCCACTGGCCATAAACACTGAAGTGACAGCACCTGTGAATGTTAAAAAGGGGGAAGAAACGGGAAACACACATAAAACAAATACTCAATAAATACTCTTAGCAATCAGTTATACCTATGTTTTCTTTAACTCATCATAATCACATTTTCCTTTTGTCTGTGGCCAAAACATAAGACTCTCCCATGTTATTTCTTACATGCATAGTATTTTGCTACCCACTCCTTTTAGTGGGTTCACTGGACATGTAACACATATCGATATTGCCAACATAACTCTTTAAACATAAGTATTTACAATGTATTCCCAAAATACAGCCACTATTTATTAGGTAGCAATGGAAGATGAGTATTCAAACAGCTGCAACCCAATGACAGTCAGAACTGGCTTTCAATCAGAGAGAGGTCTCAATGGCCAGACCCACTTACCAACTAGCTGAGCGGGGAAAAGACCACTCAGCATTTGTAATTGACAGAGCAATTCCAATTCAGCAAAATCACACACTGCAGTAAGAGCCTTAGGCCAGATGAAAATACCCAAAGATCTGAATGTCAAATCCATACAGACCAAGTGTCCTCGGGCAGCCACTGCTAGAACTTCAAACTGCACGTAGGTTGCCTGCTGCTGCTTTGAGTTTTTAAAGATACAGGATTGTTTTGTTTAAATTTGAATTAAAATATTTTAAAAGTCATCCCAGTCTTGTAATAGCTTCAGTTTTTATGTGAACCTGTATGTAAACAAATGAAAAAATCAGTGTGTGTGTGTATGTGTGTGTGTAACAAAAGTCTGTGTGTTAAAACAAAAAAAAATCAGTGTGTGTGCGTGTATGTATAAAACAAAAGTCAGTGCATGTGTGAAACAAAAAAGTCATTGTGTGTGTATGTGTGTAAAACAAGTCAGTGTGTGCATCAAACAAAAAATGAGTGTCTGTAAAATAAAAAAAGCAGCATGTGTTAAACAAAAAAAAATCTGTGTGTAAAACAAAAAGAACAGTGTGCGTGTGTGTGTGTGTGTGTGTGTGTGTGTGTGTGTGTGTGTGTATTTTGGTTTTGGTTTGGAGCCTGTCCTGGAACTCGCTCTGTAGACCAGGCTGGCTTCAAACTCAGAGAGATCTGCCTGCCTCTGCCTCCTGAGTGCTAGGTTTAAAGGCTTGCACCACCAATGCCAGGCAGTGTGAGTGTTTTTAAAGAATGGCCATGAAATAACTGTAGCCTGTTTTAAATCCTTCTAAGTTGTTCTGTATAAATACAATGCACGACTTTGCTTCCAAGTCGTAACCTCAATGTAATTCCAGAACATCTTTATCACCTTTAATATTAAACAGCTAAAAGACAGCGAAAAGAAGTTACACGTGTCCACACTTATCAAACTGTTGGTTCTCTCTTTTTTATGAAAATAAAACCATGTAAGCCCCACCACCAGTCATCCACAGAAAGACCACCTGCAAAATAGCACACAGCATAGCAGTCCACAGTTTCATCCCACTTGAATTTTTCATACAGAACAATTTAAAAATTAAGAATTACAAATTAATTCAGTTCTTCAAATCAAAATAAACTAAGGGAAATGTTTTTATAGGTGCAAAAGGCATGACATTCTAGCATCCAAAACAGG